CTGCTCAGCGTACTTTCCGTACGAGACAGCTGCTCCGCCTCAGGAGATCGAATCGTTAGTACGATATTGTGAGGAATCTGGGAAGGGGCTTCTCATCGGCTGTGACTCGAATGCCCACCATATCCTGTGGGGCAGCCGGGACACGAACCCGAGGGGAAGTGCTCTGCTCGAATTCCTCACCACCAGTAATCTGGAAATCATAAATGAGGGCTCAGTACCTACTTTTTTCACGCCTAGGCGGCAATCTGTTATAGATCTTACTCTATGCACTCGAGATATGTTGACCCAGGTTCATTCATGGAAGGTGTCACAAGATGAATCTCTATCAGATCATCGACACATTCTGTTTACGCTGGGGGGTACAAGCGCTCCAGAAAAAGAAACATATAGGAACCCTCGTGCCACCAAGTGGGACCTCTTCCGGGAGGAACTCAAAGGAAGGCTTGTGGGTTTGCCATCAAAGTACGGGAGTGAGGCCGAAATAGATACAGTGGTGTCGTATCTTAATAAAGCCATCACGTCCTCGTACGAAAACAGCTGTCCACTTAAAGACAGGGCTACCAATGCCAGAACGCCATGGTGGAATTCAGAAATAGAAAACCACCGCAGGCTCACAAGAAAGCTTCTAAACAAAGCGAAACGTACCAACGTACCGCAACACTGGGAAGAATATAAGTCTGCCCAGAGAGCGTACAAGAAAGCCATTCGGCAAGCACAAAGAGACAGTTGGCGTGCCTACTGCGGAGAAATAAACACAATTTCTTCAGCGGCAAGGATATGCAAAGTTCTCTCCAAAGAACCGGGAAGAGGAGTGGGCGTGCTGTCTCTGTCAGATGGTCGAGAAACCACAACGGCAGAGGAAACATTGCAGCACCTCATCTCCACACACTTTCCGGATTCAGAAATAGCCAACGAACCACCTTTGAGGACGAGCCCAGTGAGAAGAACTCACATGGACTATCAAACGGCGTCAAATGTGGTTACATACGAGAAGGTGAGATGGGCTGTAAAGACATTCGCACCATTTAAATCACCAGGGGAAGATGGAATATTTCCGGCCCTCCTACAAGAGGGACTGGACACCATCATTTCCCTGCTTATGAAGATATTTCGGTCCTGTCTGGCTCTGGGCCACATACCAGTGGAATGGAGATCGGTTAGGATCGTATTTATCCCGAAACCAGGGAAAACAGATTATTCCGATGCCAAAGCGTATAGACCCATCAGCCTCACGTCTTTCCTCATGAAAACACTGGAGAGGCTGATAGATCGATACATCAGAGATGTGCCACTGCAAATAAACCCGCTGCACGCACAACAATATGCCTATCAGACTGGGAAGTCCACAGATGCGGCTCTCCATCATCTTGTCCGCAAGATAGATGGAGTGCTAGCTGGTGGACGCTCAGCCATGGGAGTCTTCCTAGACATAGAAGGAGCATTTGACAATACGTCATTTGAATCGATATGCCACGCCGCGGATAGACATGGGGTCCACCAAACCTTGACCAGGTGGATTAGGGCCATGCTATCGCAGCGAGTGGTAAAAGCAGAACTATGTGGGAGGTCGGTTGCTGCCAAGGTATCAAGAGGATGTCCTCAAGGAGGGGTTTTATCACCACTACTATGGTGCCTGGTAGTAGACGAGCTCCTCATAGATTTGAATAAGCCAGGGCTATATGCGCAAGCATATGCAGATGACTTGGTAATAATGGCCCAAAATCAATCGGCGAACCGGCTAGGGAATCCAATCATGGAAGCCCTCAATAAAGTGGAACAGTGGTGTTCCACCAGTGGATTAAGAGTCAATCCAGAAAAGGCGAACTTGGTATTATTCACTAAGAAACGCAAAATAGGAACACTTCCTGAGATATTTCTCTCGGGAAAGTGTCTCCAATATAAAAGCTCATCAAAGTACCTTGGAGTTATAATAGACTCCAAGCTCACTTGGAATGAGCACATTGCAAACCGCACTAAGAAGGCTGTATGCTGCTTCTGGGCATGCAGACGAGCCTTTGGAAAAACATGGGGTCTCACACCTAAGACCCTTCACTGGATATACACGGCAGTAATACGCCCAACACTTACGTACGGGTCCATTGTATGGTGGACCAGTACCAATAAGGGCAAGACCAACAGAGAACTGGATAAAGTCCAGCGACTGGCCTGCCTGGGAATAACAGGTGCTCTGAGAACGACGCCTACCAGGGCTCTTGAAGTTCTGTTAGGTCTGCCGCCTCTACACCTGTTCATACAACACGAAGCCATGAGAACTGCTTACCGACTCAACGGTGCAAACCAGTGGGTCGGAACAGAAGCAGATCAAGGCCACTCCCTCATATGGAATAAGGCAAAGGAAAACTGTCCCATCCTCATGATGAGAAGGGATAATACCTTGCCAATTCTGAACTTCAACAAAGCCCCAAACACTGTCATCCCTACGAGGGAAGAATGGAATGACACAACACCTGGCGTGCCTCCTCCGAATGAGTCAATCTGGTACACGGATGGCTCAAAATTTGGGGGCGGTTCAGGTGCAGGGGTATACAATGAAGGAACAGGGAAAGAAATTTCAGTTCCTTTGGGCGAATATGCCTCAGTGTTCCAGGCAGAAGTACTTGCAATACTCACCTGTGTCCAAGAAAACCTAATTATGAGAGGTCATAGACCAATCACTATATGCTCGGACAGCAAAGCTGCAATACTGGCTTTGCAATCCAATAGGATCACATCCAATTTGGTGTCCGAGTGCAGAAAAGCCTTGGAAAACCTGGCAAAATCAAGAAAAGTCAGCCTCATGTGGGTTCCGGGACATTCGGGAATACCCGGAAACGAGGAGGCAGACAGACTGGCAAAGATCGGTTCAGGACGGACCCCGGTCGGACCGGAACCAATCTTGGGAATACCAAATAGCCTGGCAATGTCCTCTATAGAGGAACAGCTGCAAAAGCAATTCCTCAAAATATGGAAGGACACACCAGGAATGAGACAATCGAAGCTCCACATAAAGGAACCTTCGAAGAGGCTCGCAAAAGAGGTTTTATTCCTAAACAGGCGAAACCTTAAAATGGTAGTGGGGCTCCTAACGGGGCACAACCACCTCAATAGGCACCTAGAGCTTATTGGGATCAAGGATGACCCCCTTTGCAGATGGTGCCTGGAAGATGACGAAACGTCATCACATGTCCTCACTGAGTGTCCAGCACTGACGCATCAGAGGAAGGCTGTCCTTGGCAACATAATCTTGAGGCCAGAGGACGTAAAAGAGATTCAGCTGAGGAAGCTGCTGAACTTCTCCAAGGCAGTCGGCATACCCAGCTGAATGTTGTAACATGTGGGCGCACAATGGGCCCGAATAAGGAGGCCCACGTGCAGGGGGTTCACCCGCCCACCAGTGCTTCGAAGAAGAAGAAGAAGAAGAAGTCTCATCTCTTTGGATAACGTCTTTCTTTAGTTTTTTAATATCATTCACAAGGTTGTCTGCATTTTTTTCCTCTCTAAATCCTTCAGCTCGCATTCTTGGGAGCAGTGAATTTTGAAACCACCAAGTTCTTTTTATTCAAATTTGCGGTCCAAACAGCCTGGATGGAAAATGTCAAAACATGTAATGCAAATAAGGTTTCCAAAGTCTTCCTTACAACATTTGAGTTTACGCTCCATTTGTGTAAATTTGTACGACACTAGTGGGTGTTTGAGATTCCTTTTAGTCCACCAAAAACGAGATCCTATATCCGCACTTCTTCCAGACGATTCCACACTCGTGGTGAAACTTCTTACCACTAGGTCAGTTTATATTGTTTTTTAATGCACTGAGGAAGTTTGTTGCATGAAAACCCCATCTAGCATCGACCCCATAACGACGTCAGTGAACGGTGGCGGCTGGCTCGATATTCTCTTCTCCAATGATTTTGCGGAAGCTGCTTTGTCGGTATTACATATAGTTCCATCTAAATGGCACATGGTCATCGGAACGGGAGTTGATGGATACGACAGCACCTTTGCGACATCGCTATTCTGCTCCATTGATACTCCCAACATTTACCCGAACAAATCTCGTTGCATTCGAACTTCTGGCACTCTGCTGCCAATTTTGACAAATGTTTTCTTTGGAAGCAACCGAAAAATTTGAAATTGGGTTCCTTTTAATCGGTTTCTCGAATCTATCGTTCGATGCGGCTTATTAAGTAATGAAAGTTTTCCGTAACTAAGTTCCTGTTTCTTCCATATTGAGAAGGAAAGCAGCAGTTGCATCTGAAGTAGCTCTTCCTGTTGTAGAGAACTCCCGTATCTGAGTCGGAATCGAATGGGTTAATATTTCTTTTGATGGTGTCCATGAATGTCTTAAGAAGAGCTGTAGTTTTTTAATATTATGTCATTCCAGATCAGAAGTTATATCTTGCGATTTTTTCAGTCCACTTCCTTCATACACTTGCCTGATTGTCGATCTGGTGCCGTGACTGCGTGACCAACGTTGCCGAGCAGATATTGAATTGGTGAAATGTATCACCCCCGTCAATCGTCTTGCTGTATCAGCGTTTATCGTCTGCTCCAAAGTCAAGTCTACAGGTTTTCTCAAAAAAGGCTTGTCTGTTCGTTTCACATCAGAGTAACCTTGCTCCAAAATCTATTTTAATGCTGGATGTGTATTGTCGACCTTGATCAAATTGTCGTGGTACTTACCCAACCACCTTGCGTAATTCGGTTGATTGAATGTGAAAAATATGTTAGCTATTTTATGCAAAATATGCTTGAAAAGTTCGAAATCTTTTATACGAATGCTCCTTGTTAAGATTCGGTAATAATTGACGAGCTTGATATATATCATATAAAATTGAGCAGTTTTGCCGTGTTGGCCTTGCAGTGTCGCTTTCTGATCTGCCAAATATCTCGTCAGTAATTCCGCGAGAGCTTCGTTTTCAAGTGCCTCTCTCGAAACTTGATATTCTGTTAAATTTGTAAGCGTTTAGATCACATCCTCGTCAACTTCTAATTTCTCACGCTCAAGAAAAGCTTTGAGATGCAAGATTTCCAGTGCTGATGAAACCATTCACCGAATTATTGGCCAATAGTTTGCTTTCTATCATCATGTATGACAAACCACAGTCATCAATGACTTTCCCAACTGCTTTGAAATAAAAATAAGCCATCATTATGTGAAAACTGCCAAGGTGAATAAAAACATTTTCAAATCTCGGGTGCTCGGTAGATTGTATCTCCAAAGCAACCTTTGCGATAGCCAAATCATAAATGATTTGAATGTAGCGTTGTTTGCACTCACTAGCAGCATTTTGAGCCTGAATCATTGTTCCGATGACAACAGAATTTTCAGTTGGCGATATATTTATCGGGGTCAGGTACGTAACTTTTTGCTTAGGGCCGTCATCTGGTATCATTTTACTATTGAATCCTACCCACAGGGGTGCATTCGGAACTTCAATAGCATGTGATAACATACACAGCAGTCCTTTTTTGCTTATAGTTGACAAATTGTCCGGAAGTGATTGTCGCATTGGATTGTCGATTGGAAGTAGAGTAGCAAACATTTTCAGTCTTCTGGAATATGGAATCAACTCTGGGTGGAAAGCTTCAAATGATCTCCGCCTTTTAGTGGATGATTTGTCTGTAGATCCTTCAGCATTGTCGTTGGCGGATTCCTGTGTATCGTCATTGCAAGTGTCGCTCACATTTTGAAATATAATTCCAACGGTGTCGTGAAGAGTATCTTTACCGCTGCTAGTTTCAACAAATCCGTCAAAATTGTCGAAAGCAACTCCTATGCATAAATCTGTAGACTGTGCGATTCCTTTCGGGCAAATAGTTGAACTATTGGAAGCAGCAAAAGTCGCTTCAGTTTCAAGCTCTTCCATTATGTTGTAACTACAAAAATTACCATACCTGTTTGAAATGTCGATCACTTTCCTGCTGCTAGTCGAACTTTTCATTGCCATGCCCAGGGTTATGTGTTTAGATGTTCTTAGTACGCCATTTCCAACGGCATAAATTGTTTCTCGACAAAGAGATTTTACTCTTCTCAATTTGTCAACATTCTGTCTGGGTCGACGATCTACACCACACACCAGCGTCGTGAAAAAATTGTACAATTCTTTCGGAATTGTGCATTCGCCAGTGATCGAATCTGTGGTTCGTGGACTATCAGGCATATGGATTTTCTTTATTTACATAATTTTTTCTCTTAGGTTCAGAGTGGTTCCACGGTTGCTATCGGTTATTTTCAAAGATTGGTACGTCGATTCATCTACAGTGACGTCTGCGGGACACACAATGTTCTGATTGTGCATGAAAATGATTTTTGATTGTGTGCCAAATCTTTCAGAAATGCTATCCCCCATCCGCTGCGGTCTATATTCATCATGTTCATCCTCGGAGTCCTCACGGTATTATTTCCGTAAATTACGCTTAAACGAGTTTAATGAAGAGTGCAAGAAAACGCATTTTCGTCGTTTCAACACATGATCTTGAATAAAAGTGGATAATGATTCGAAAGTGATTTTGCAATTATTCCTTTCAATGTGTCAATCAGAAGGTGGGCATTGTGAGTCGGTGAATGATCGAAATTTAATTTGGTAAGCTCTTTCACAACGATCGTGGTATCAAAAATGTTTACTTCCGTAAATTTCTTCCAACAATTGTAAATCATTCAATTCTGCCGCTTGGGCTTTCAAAGTATCTCCAAAAAAAATTGAATTTGTTTTCGCTGTACGCAATTCTATTCATTTTCCTTTTACCTTTGAGCGAGCTTCATCACAAAATATGCATTTTTCAATACTTCCCTGTGAAGTAATCGTTGCAGAGTCAAGCGATAACGTGAGCGGTTGTTCGTCCGGTTTTTCTATTATATCTCCTTCTATGTCTTCAACTGAGGTAGATTCATGCGAAGTTACAGAAGACGTACTGGCTTGTTCAGCTTCTTCTTTTTTTAAATATTTACTCATAACCGCGATGAAACCATTACGACATTTGTGGTGGTACCCTTTTGAGTCACTTGGGGCTCAGCTCTCTTTTCAGAGTTTTTCAGCTGTGTTTTGTAGGCTAGTAATGTACTCACTACCATATGCGCAGTGGCAGGCCTGCTAACTATCATCGTTAACCCCCGAGACCGAGGTCTACTTAAGCAGCTGGCCCGCTCTCACGCTCAGCTGGTAGTTTTCTACACCCACCTACATACACCGTCCTACTTCTTCTCTGATGCTCACAACCACATCATCATATCTTTCTGCGTGTTCTGTGTAGGCTTTGTTACTAACTCCATGCGCCACTTTAGGAGCAGCACTGTTAATTGGAACGCAACAGCGAATCGTGCAGGACTATCCCCAGCCGATGCTCCGAAACTTCACAATATTTAATTCGTAAATAAAATATTGAAAAAAGTTCCTTGCCCGTGCTGGAAATCGAACCCACGACCTTGCGGTCGTGAGACGGACGCTCTTCCACTGCGCCAATCCCGGCTCAATAGCATGACATACATTGTTCATAATGAAAAATAACTGTAGTCTCTGATTGACTATCTGTTCTGGTTTGTACAGATAGACTACTCAACTGACAAATACGTTCTATTCAAGAAAAACATAGTTATACCAGACCCATATATTGTTATCACAAATACTGAAACAACAATTCCAAATAAATCAAATAATGGGTAATGATTTATCAATACATACTAACCATTATTTCAAGACATGTTCCACTACCACTCTACCACAGAAAACATATTCGAAGAGGGTTTTCCGATCACATCTTCAATTCGTTTCAACGCTGCTTGAAATATCATCATGAGTAGTTTCGAATCCATGTCGCTCGAAGAGATGGCTGAGATCAGCGAGATCATCCACATATTAGATGATAATGTATTACAAGAAGCTTCCTCGCAGCCAAGGACAACGACGACTCCGGTCACTCCTGCACAGTTCACCACAACCAGCCAATCTGCCATGTTCACTGCGACCACCCAACCAGCTTACTACACCACGACCACCCCACCGGCTAACTACACCACGATCACCCAGCCAGCTGTCATATCCATGACAACCCAGCCAGCTGTGATATCCATGGCAACCACCAGACCCAACGCCACCCAGCCAGCTGTCACCTTACCAATTTCCACCAGAATCACCAAAGCCAACACCACTCAGAGGGTTACAAGACCCATCAACGTCCTCGGAGATCTGGATGGGGATATGGACATCATTCTTCGGGGTTGCGTCGCAAACCAGAAGGAGGAATTGAAACAGGATGCAGCGGACTGGCGAAAGGAGGTACTTACGAATGCTACAGGTGGGCTTACTATCCTCAAGGATCAGCGAATGAAAATGTCAACACGGATAGCCTACTTTAAGGATTTTGTAAGTCTCCTGGTTGAGGATATGGGTCGGGTGACCTGGATATGAAAAATGTAGAAAGTTTAGTCGAGTTACTTGAATAAATATTTATTCATTACCACTACTATTTTTATTTCACAAGGTATCTTTGAACAATATCTACATCGAATTCATTCGAAAAATACCTATTTGAAAAACTCCGTAAGTCTTCTAGTCGAAAGATAATAAATGTGAGAGCATCTCACATTAGCTATATATCACTTATTTTTTATTCTCCATGAAAATTCAGTTGATTAGTCTGTCCAATTTACTGATGGTCGTCTGGCAATTATGAGCCTGCAGCGATTTGCCGACCAGGCCATTAAATTTACTTTTCAATTAGCCTAGCTCGAGAACCCTCTTCTGTATAATGTCTTGGGTATATATTAGAATTCAAATGTCATTATTCCTTTACATCGACCAGTAGCGTTATTTGTTTAGCGTTACTTATTTGTTATAATTATTGATATTTGCTTCGTAATCTCGTTATAATTATTATTATTATTATTGTCATCATTATCATTATTATCATTGTCATTATTATTATTTTCATTATCAATATTATCCTTATTCTAATTATTATTACACTATTAGTCGCGGAAGAATCAATCTAGAAAATATGTTTTGGATTCAGGACCTTGAATCAAGTCGACACTTTCATTCTATACAATATAATCTATGCGCACTCGAAGAATTGTAAACTAGGAACGGTCCATGTCGCCTTGATAACCCAACATATTCACGTTCTTCTCTTATACTTAAATCTCTGTAGTCTCTGTCGGTGAGATTGCAGCCCTACTTTTATGAAAAATAGGTGAATTTGCGAACGGTAGCTCTTCGTCAGTAGGCACTATGGGTTCGAGTCATCAAAATGAGTTAAAATAGCAAAAATTCAGTTATCTAGCAATCATAAGGTTAAACAAAAAAAGATGGGGCGCCAATGAAACTTTCAATTCGAATGAAATGTTACCTGGAAAGTTGAGCAACCAGATAATGAATAATATTAGTTGTTCTCCCAGACTAAAAGACCTAAATTTACCTTAGAGATGTTGTGAGTTGGAGTGTCATGTCAATAAACAAATAAAACAGTCATATAAAATACCCAAAACATTTAATTATGATGTTAGGCCTCATATATCATATCACAGGTTTTGACAAATATGCATAATCAAAAAATATTAGATACTTATTTTCTGTTGAGAAACTACACTGTTGTTGCCTGCTATTATGTGGATGAAAATATATCAATCGACTTTATATTGTACTTGAAAAATCAAGAGCTCCTGTAAGGACGTTTTATAGTCATAGCAGATTTTCAAGAAATATTGAATATTGAATAATTCTACCAGCGCATAGTATACTATGTGGAGGGGAAGTATATGTACCTTTCATGTGTGATCTCATAAATTCATGACCTAGATATGATTTAAAAATGGTCCATTATACACACTAGCAATGGGCAATATGAGTGAATAAAAGTTTTTGAAGTAATGATTATATCATCCAGATATGTGAAAATATGTGGTTCAAAGTTAGGTCCTAATAGAGCGTCACAGAGCCTCTTCTGAGTCTGAGCACTATTACATAAGCCAAATGGCATGAACGTGAATTGAAAAGATCCCCTACCAGGCACACTGAATGATGTTTCCTCACGTGACGACACATCTAAAGGGATCTGCCAAAAAGCTTTACGTAGATCAATACTTGAGATATTTAGCATCTCTGAGCGAATTCGAAATTCTGTCTATGCGAGGTAGTGGATAGCTATCGTGCTTAGTTACTTCATTGAGTTTTCTCCCGTCAAAACAAAATCTGTACTCACCAGATGACTTTTTTACTAAAAGGACTGGACTATTATAGGGACTCCGAGTGGTTCAACCACCTTTAACTTCAGCATGTCATCAAGTTCTCTATTTAAAACTTTCAACATAAATGGTGACATAAGGTACTGCTTAACTCGAAATGGCTTCGAATCACCAGAGTCAATCGTCATTTTAATTTTATCTGTGATACCAATACGACTCTCACTGCTAATTTCTTCAAACTGCTCTATAATTTGTTCTGCTTGAACACTCTCTGAAGGAGATAAATCTGACAAATTACTTGAATCTGAATTTTTATCTCTTTAACATGACTAGAGACAACCTGTATAGAATTATGCGTTACTGCACTATGCACATTCCAAATCCTATTTTACAAGTCGATCTTGATCTTGAACTGATTTCAAAAATCGCTTCCAAAAATAATTGAGTGGAGCAGTGAAGGCACTACTATAGTAGTAACAACCTGAACAATGTTATCTACACAAACTGGTAGATCAACAACACCCTTGACATCCCGTTCAGTTCCATCAACTGTTGTCACATGTTTCAAGAAGGATTTATTCCATTTCAGATTAAGTTTTTTCAGTAAATCTACTGATTTTTGCCACAAACCGAAACATTGGCACCACTGTCCAAAAGACAAACTACTTTCTGATCTAAAATTTTTACAGAAATATATGGTCTGTTATCACGTGACTTCTGTACAAAAAGAGGTGCGACATTCAAATTTTTATGGAAAACATAATTTTTATAAAAATCTCTCACAGTATTTTTCCAATCATTCCATTCATTGGGATTGAAAGAATTTGAACTTGAAATTGGGTTGACTCTTTTAAATTATGGAGGGAAACAAGAGTCGTAATACTTCACCTCCCTTACTAGTTTCGCTGACATTTTGTACATTCCCTTGAAGTTACATCTGCACAACCGCATTTAAAACAAAATTTCTTAATGACATTGTCA